ATATAGGCTCTGATGATCACCTTGAAGCCCGGGTCGAGAACTTGGCAAAGTTGGAATTTTGGTTTTATTCTACCACTTGACCATAATACTGATCATACGTCAAATAAAACTCATATATATTTATATTCCTCCCTCGCTCTCACTATCTATCTGTCTACCTATCTACATGTCTATTCCCCCATCTATCTCTACCTCTCCTCTTTTCTCTTTATATCTATCGATCTATTTATCTCGTCCCTTATCTATTTATCTTTTCTATATATATTTCTATCTTCTATTTCCCTCGCTTCCCCACTCTATCTCTTATCTATCTATCTATCTATCCATCCATCTCTATCAATCTACCCCTCTTTCTTTCTATTATATATATATTATATCTTATATTATTCTCTTTGTCTCACTCTATCTCTCTTTTTTGTCTCTCTCTCTTTATCTATCTATCAATCTACCTCTCTATCCCTTCTATATATCTCTACCTCTTTCTTTTTCTCTTTATATCTGTCGATCTATTTATCTCGACCTTCCATTCTAATTCTCTCTTTATATCTATCTATCTCGCCCTTCTATCTCTCTTTCTTTCCGTTTATCTATATCCTCTCTCTCTCTCTGTCTNGCTTACTTTACGGATCTAACTGATCTCTCTCTCTCTCTATATCCCTTGCTCTCCCTCTCTCGCTTTCTCTAATTTTCTATCTATCTGTCTACGTTTCTACCTATCTATCTCATCTCTCTCTCTCTCTCTCTCTCTCTCTCTCTCTCTCTCTCTCTCTATCTATCTATCTATCTATCTATCTATCTATCTATCTATCTATCTATCTATATATCTATCTATCTATCTATTTATCTCTATCTTTCTATCTACATACTTATCTATCTATCCCTTCTATCTATCTCTACCTCTTCCTTTTTCTCTTTATATCTGCTGACCTATTTATCTCTCTTTCTTCCTATGTCCTCTATCTATCTATGGCTTCTCTCTTTCTCCATCTATCTATTTAAATGTCTAACTATCTACCTACCTTTTCCCCCGGGGTTTGTGTCCGAGTGAATCGAAGTCACGATAACTCAAGTGATTATGACGCTAACGTTTTCATGTCAAGCAAGTCCTTAGATAAAAACTATAATTTATTTTAAGTAATTAATAGGTCAATTATGGCTACTAAATACCTTTATCTTAAAAGTTTTACATGCGACATTCTAACGGTCATCAAAGGCTTGTTAACCCTTTTGGACAATGAACAAAGTGAACAATCGCCCTGGTAGCCATTCCCCGGAGCGGATCCATTCACCGATTTACCCTTTGTGATCCACAATCCCTTGACAGTTATATATTTGTTGTGCAAATAAGAATCGCAGACGAATCTCAAGAGAGAGAGGCAAAAAAAAAGAGACTGCTTTATCACAATTGACCCTAGGAAAGGAATCACGCCTTGAGACGTGGGAGGTCGAATAAATACGAAAACAGTTTTTTCGCCTTCGGAAAAAGGCTTTTTTCAAAACACCGAGGGGGAGAAGTTGTGAATCCCTCAGTGCAAGGATAAGGCGAAAGAGGAATAGGGGGAGAGAGTTGATTAAGAAGTTGCCTGGATTTATTCAGGTAAGAAAAGGTTTATTGAGACGCATCATATCCTTTCGAATTGAGCTCCGGATCTGCGGGGGAGCGGAGATTTAGGACAGGAGGATGAATAGTGTAGAAGAGACGGATGAGGAAGCTGTAAAGGAAAGGCCGAGGGAGCTGATCGATAAAAGGTTAGCATAGCCGAGGCTTCAAGCTGTAAACCCTCTTTACAATAACTTCTGCCCTCTGAAACCCTCTCCTCCGACAACAAAACTACCACCGCCCCGTACGGCACCGCCCCCACAAATAATTGAGTCAGCAAACAAATTACCTCCGTGCCTCGCTAATGTGCCACTTAGCCCTGCTAAACAACGGCCTCATCCTTTTTTCCGCCTCCTTCCGCTCAAACGATAGGCTCAATTTACTGGAATAATGTGTGTATGTGCTTGGAATGTGAAAACTTAATCTACACCCGTTGTGCATGGTAGGGAGCAAAATTACACACTGTTTTAGGCTTAGAACCAACCTAAAATAAAAACTTCTTAGATCATTAAACACAAAAGCTAAAGAATGACTTTAAAATTAATAACATAAAACAATAATGGTTCAGAATAATGAAATTAAAAAATAAAAATTGTTAACCCACTGCATGAATAAAATAATGAGCAGTTAAGTAAGGCTAACTTAAACACCAGAAGATTCGATATTTCTGTAAATGTAGAGTCTATTATTTGGCTTCATTTAAAAAAAAAATTGTTATTTTACTACTAACCAAAGCCCTTTAGGTTATTATTAATTATGCTATCAATTGGATATGATAATGAACAACCTCACATGGATTATTGTACAAATTAATTACACTTTTATTTAAAGTCTTGCCTGAGATGAAAAAGCGAGTGTCACGAGTTGGGTTTGAACCCACGACTTTAGGCTCAATACGCGGCTGCTCTCACCACTTGAGATTTCGTGAAGCATTGAGCCGACGTGGGTTCGAATCCCGCAAGTGACTCATGATTTTTCATCTCAACTAAAATTTTAGACAAAAGTGCAATTTATTGAAATAATTAAATAATTATAATTATTAAATTATGATCGCATGAAACATATAAAGAGAAAAAAATTATTTAAAACAGTCCATATCTGGACAAAACATTGGTATCATAAATTGAGCTTTGCGTTTATCAATCAAGAATACTCGAAATTCTTGATTGATTAAAAATTAATAAAATATATTGTCTGATCTCATAACTTGGCAATAGTGTCACCTATGGGGCGATGACCCCTGGTCGTTTCTGGTCATTTTTGCCTGCCCATCATCTCAGTTTTGGTTTGTCTGACCGCCTTTTGCCTCCTCGGTATTTAGTCTGTGTTATTTCATCAGTTGTTTTTGAGGGTGATTGATAGGGTTGGTATAGAACAAGGATTTCCACTTGAAGACTGCGTTGCCCGCCTCTCCCTGTTTATAACCTTGATGTCATCCACTTATTGCAATGGCAAGGAGCCGAAATTAAAATGATGGAAACGTTCAAACTGTGTTGTATGAGAGAACAGGCTTTGACTTCCACGCCTTAGATCAAAGCGATAGAGTTGAATTTTTCGGTCCAAAAAGTTTTTTGCCCTTTCTTAGTTGTCCAAGGCTTTTGTCTTGTATAGGGGATTCCACTTTAGCTATCCAGTATAGTCAGTCCTAAGTATCTAATTTGAGTGGAACGATTTCCTTGTAAATTGTACGTTACAAGTAAATCTGTAAGACTGTAAGACTGTTTTTTCAAATGAAAATGCAAGCTGTGTATATTTTTCTAGTCTTTTTGCACCATTCTTGATAATAGACTTAGCTCAAGGTGTTCTTAGATTTGGGCTAGAAGACAAAATTGCGATAACATTCGTATAAATTGTATGCAGATTGGGACCAAGAATGCTCCCTTGTGGGACGCCGGCGTGTGTTGGTACAATATATGATATGAGTACTCGTTATTGCACCTCAGTGAAATAAGATTCAAGAATAAGGTAAGAAGTCACGGCTGTAAGGTAAAGGTTCCGGGTTCGAATCTGCTTTCGAAGGATACTAACAAATGGGCTTTTTCTTCAAAAACCCCGGCACCCCGTGGGTTCATATAACCTCGTAGCTGAAATACCCTCATTAAAAAATTACATTTAATCGTTTTAATTTATAGAGGATTGATGGTTGCAAGACCGTATTGTTCGAGTTAAGCAACCCCTTCCTTTCACGCTAATAAATACATTAAATCCAATAAATTATCATACGGTGGCCGCAACTGTTTTGGCGTTGACACGGTGCTCAACACTGTAATGTCCCCGGTTCGAACCCAGCGGCCCTGCTTTCGAACACGACATACTAACAAATGGGCTTTTTTTTCTAAAAGTCTGGTCATATTCACTCCACCGAAGTACACGTTACTCCTCGGTGCTGGTATAACCCTAATCCATTCTCGCTAATAAGTTACTTTTACTCTCTAGACCTCACGCACTCACCCAAGAGTACTGATATTCTTCGGGGTGCGGTTAAGCAACTCCTTCCTTTCACGCTAATAAATTACTTTTGCACTCCAGACGTCACGCACTCACCCCAGAGTACTTGATATTTCGCGGCGTGGGGTAGAACTCACTCCAATCTCGCTAATAATCTTACTTTTTCTCTCCGGACATCACACACCCAAAGAAGTGTAATAAAAATTAAGCAAAGATAAAATTAGACGTAAAAATATTTATTCATCTATATAATTCTAAGTAACTCCGGTTGAAAATAAATATTTATACTATACTAAACTCTTTGATATAGCGTACATGAAGAAATCTACTGTCGTTAATTGACAGTTAATGAGAGTAGATTTTTTGCGTGTAAGACGAAATGTGAGCACTGCGGGAGGAAGGCGGTTTAAACGGTCGGCAAATAATGTTTGTAGATGCGAGGACATGTGTTTCCAAGAGCGGGATTGTCCCTGTTTGCCATTACCATTTGTTGAACAAACACTTATTTGGTCAGTGTTTGCCCTCGACACCTGGAACGAACCCGTTATGAACCGGGACGTCGGTTGTAGCGAGAAAAGTTTTATCCATATAATGCCCCGGTAACGTCGAGGAGGACATCTTAGGAAGGGGAGACAGGATGACAAAAGGAATTCTTTTATGCCGGGGAAATGTCAATTGTGAATACATCAAATAACTCCTTCATCGCATATACGGCATAAAGGGAGAAATGTGCCTTTTTTTTCTGCATCGACGGTCCGATTCCATTTTCCCTCTTTTTCTTCGCTCCGTAAATAAAAAGCTTCACCACTGATCATCCTGGTCGGCCTTTTCTCGCTTTTGCATATCAAATTTATTTTGGAACTTCAACATTTTACACTTAAAATTCATTATACATGTATACTATTTTATTTACCTATTTCTTTTATCGTCGTTTTAAAACAAACAGCCCATACACATAAATCTTTTTAATCACTATCAAATACTTTTAAAATATTATCCGTCAACGTCACAGTTCGACCAAAAGTGTAAAATTTTCATAGATTTAATTTGTTCTATTTCGGAAAAGCCAGCTTGTACACATCTTCGTAGAAATTGACAAAATGCACTTCAAGACCTTTTGTAACGTATGCAGGCAGGTCGTTGAAGTCTTTTTTGTTCTCGTCGGGAAGGATAACACAGTTAACACCGACTCGTTTTGCCTATAATGAAAAACATGTCATGTAATTTTAATGTAATATATTTTATTTCTTACCGCCATTATTTTTTCTTTGATTCCTCCTACAGCGATCACATTTCCTTTCAAGGATACTTCACCGGTCATGGTTATGTCTTGTCTGATTGGCTTGTTCATCGCTAAGGATAAAAGTGCAGTGACGATCGCTATACCACCGCTCGGCCCGTCTTTCGGTACAGCTCCCTGATTAACATGGATTAAAATGAATAGAAACAGTTTGAACAAATTAGGTGTAGGTCACCTCTGGTATGTGAAGATGGATGTGATTTTTCATGAGGAAATCGTTCTTCGGGTCAATCTTGAGCATGTAGTTTTTAGCGACTGTCAGCGATATCCTGGCCGACTCTTTCATGATCTGGCCCAAGTGGCCGGTCACCTCCAACGATCCGTCGGTTGTCTTCTCGTTTTTGTTTTTTTCGACGATGGTGTTGCTCCCGGGCAACCTGTTCAGGGCGGTCTCGACGTAAAAAGTCGAACCGCCCATTGCCGTCCATGCGAGACCCATGACGACCCCGGCGGGCATCTTTTCGAACATCCTCGTATGAGAGAACATAGGCTTTCCGACGAATTCCTCCAAATTCTTTTTCGTCACTAATATCTTGTCGGACTCTTTTTTGACCACCTTGAACGCCACCTTCCTGGCAACCTAAAATACATCAGATAATAAGTTCAGCTCCGTATCTGTCACTAACTGCTGTAAGCTCAAAAAAGACCATTATCCCAACTTTTGAAAAAAGTGCACGTATAAGTTTAAATATGACCTCAACTGCGACTTCCGGGTAAGTAACCTAGGGATGAGTTATGATAATGAAACGATTATCAGTAAAGGGTGGCCTTCATTATCGAGAATTGACTTGAGCTTTTATTGAAGGGATGAACTTTAATCAGAAATGAAACCCACCGAACAATTGCTTAGAAAAGATTCGATTAAACTGACATCACACACCCTCTAAACTAAGGATCGGGCTGACTTGATCGTTTTCATTACAAAATTATTAGTAGTTCGGTAGTATCCGAGCATCCTGGTCCGTCAGTGCCTGCTGTGCTTGCCTCACCCCTCTATATCCTTGGAGCCACTCACGTAACATGGTGAAATGAAAAACGCGTCGACAAACCAACACATCGAGGATAGGATGATTAGGATGAACGGTAACGACCAAATACTAAAGTTAATGGTACATAAAAATGGGCTTTTTTTAAGGGTTCATATAACCTCATATAAGTTGATGGTGGGTGTTGGTCTGCGAGTCGATGAACTCATGTTGAACCGGCACTGGATTCGTCAAAAGAACAGAAAAACAGTGTGGTCTGGACCGAATAAATAACCAATCATTTTGGTCTACCTATTCTTACTGTTTTCGTCTGCCTGATGCGGTTTGGTTCGTGGCCATTTTTGGTGTTTAGCCTGTATGTAATTTTATCAGTTGTGTCCTTTTTTAGATTCGTTAGTGTGAAATGAACAGGGATTTCCTCTTGAAGTCTGTTTTGCCTGCATCTCCCTGCTTATATCATTCACTTATTCCGTCTCGAACGTATGACGGCAAGAAGCCGAAATTAGAAAGATCAGAAACGTCCAGCAACATTTTTGCTGTAATTTGATCTTTACCAATCGCCATTGTTTGCCTATCCAGTTATGTTGCTCTGTCCGACTCGATTCGCCTCTTCACCATATTTGGTGGTTGGCCTGGGTGTTTTTTGATCAGGGTTACCTTTATATAGGTGTGTAAATGTGAAGTGACCAAGGATTTCCTTTTGAGTTCTAAATTGTCTTGATGTGCTCTCCTAATAAGTGGGATACATCAAGGATATAAGTAGGGAGAGGCTGACAATTTAGAACTCAAAAGGAAATCCTTGGTCACTTCACATTTACACACCTATATAAAGGTAACCCTGATCAAAGTTTGTAAATGTGAAGTGACCAAGGATTTCCTTTTGAGTTCTGAATTGTCAGCCTCTCCCTGCTTATATCCTTGATGTAACCCACTTATTAGGAGGGCAAGAAGTCGAAAAAGATCAGAAACTACATCGTTGCTGTAATTAGATCCTCCCCAATCGCCAATGTCTGCTTACCTTCAGACGATTCGCCTCTTCGCGATATTGGGTGGTTGACTTTGTGATATTTTACCATTTTGTCTTTTTTTATAGATTTGTAAATGTGAAAGATTGGGTATAAAGGAAGAATGATTTTCTATCGAGGTCTGCGTGCTTCTAACTTCTCCCTACTTAGATCGTTGACGTCAAGCACTTAACGACGATAATGACGATAATGTAACTTAGGTAGTTAATAAAGTTCATGTTTTGGTTGATTAAAAATGCTCACATTTGTTGTTTTTTGGAATTTCTCCGTGTTGTCTGTGGGTTGATAAACTTGAAATTTGGTACACACCAAGTTTTTTGGGTGTACGTGGCGACTCCCAAATCTCATTGTTTCTTTTTATTATTAAACCTAAAACTATTACAAATTTACCTTTTCTATGTGTTTTTGTAAATTCCTCACACCGCTTTCTCTACAGTAAAACTTGATTATCTGATTCAACGCATCATCGTCTAAATTTATCTGTAAAAGAAGAAAATATCAATCAGCTAGATGATATCGCACACCCAAAAGAAAAGTAACACTACTGAAAAAAGAAAAATTTTACAGGAGAGACAGACGGAAGTTTACTTTTTTTTAAACTTATGTATTAAGTGTTGGCAATAAAAACAGTCATAAACCACCAATATTGTCTTTCATTTCACCAAAACTTAAGCGAAAATACAAAACTTTAAAAATTCAGCTTTTCTACCTTTAAAAAACTACCCACTTTTAAGTTGAGCATTTTTCTTGCATATATTGGCTTTCAGTAATTTATGTTAGTTTGTGAGCCCTAACGATAATGGTGGTCAATTTGGTAAGGGTATTATTTTTTTATGGTAACAGATAACGTACAAACCTAACATATTAGCATAAATATCAATGTAGTAAGTTTTGCTAAGATTATTTTTGAGCCAAACTATTGTGCTTTCTGGAGCCAGAGCTAATTAATTATTTAACATGCAAAATTAATTATTGAAATAAATCCATTAGAGTTCGTGGTCCGATTGATCAAATAATTTTTTTCAATTAACTAATCTTTATGTAAGGTATTGGTTGAGATCAAAAAGCCAGTGTTACGAGCGGGATTCGAACCCACGACCTTCGGTTAAATACGCCGCTACTACCACTTATCGTTACTTCCATCCACTCTGACACCAACTTCCCACCTCTAACCACCTTTCGAATTTTCCCTCCTTTTTGCCATTTTTCAAATGTCGTGTAATCTATTCGATTCTCGGCGACAAATCAAACGGCTAATGAAAAGTTAATACCTTGACACGCAGGAATAGTTTGTTAAAAAGGTTGGTCGATTATTAAACAATTGGTTAGGGGTGGTTTACGAAACTCATGGGCATTCCAGCTTTGGTGGAGGGTTTAGGGGATTTTTTTGCTGTGGAAGGGAGGAGAGCTTCTGTTTGAGTTTTTTTAAGCAAAGGTCATATAAACCAAATACAAAGGTTTTTGAAAAAATGCACATTTGTAAGTATGTCGGGTTCGAATGCAGAGCTGCTGTATTCTAACTCGGGACCTTTACCTTACAGTGATGAGCGCCGTGTCAACGCCTAAACCATTGTAGCCACCGACACCCACCATCTTATTTTTTAAATATGTGAGTCTATATGCAATTTTAGGCAGGGATGTAAAAAGTAGTCTGGTACTGATGGAGCTTTGGCCTGTAGATTATCGTTTTAAGTTAGATTGCTTGGTAGTGCAACAAAATTGAAGTCCATATGGGCTCGTTTAACTTTCATAAATTTGCTTGATTTTCAGAGTAGTGTGAAGTATTGTGCCCCAGTGTGTAGATTCTAGGTAATTCTTTTTTTGATGGGGTAGGAAAATGTATTACTTACCAAATGTTTTTAGTACTTAGTAACTAGTCCTAAAAGTACTAAGTAGTTACATTAGTTATTAAATAAATAATACAAACTTGTGCTTTAGTAAGGCCGGATTCTCTCATCGCTTGTGGGAAAAGGTACTGCTTAGCTATGGCCAATTTTTCTTCGGCGATGTACCCGGAGACGTCGATCATTTCCATTCTGTCTCGTAGCGGCTCGGGAATGGTGTCGGTGACGTTCGCCGTGCATATAAAAAGCACCTGGATAATCAATATTTTAGATTCAATCTAAATAACACATTGTAAAACACGACCTTTGATAAATCGACCGGGACGTCCAAATAGTGATCGAGAAAGTTGGCGTTCTGTTCTGGGTCGAGCATTTCCAAAAGGGCCGAAGCCGGGTCCCCCTGGAATCCCCTTGAAATGGCAATTAGACCAAATTGATCGTTGTTATTTGAATAAAGACATACTTTCCGATTTTATCGACTTCGTCTATCAGTATGAGCGGGTTTTCGGTTTTCGTCTTCTTCAGACACTGGATCACCTTGCCCGGCATCGCTCCGACGTAAGTCCTCCGGTGTCCTTTGATTTCTGCCACGTCGGTCATGCCGCCGACGCTGAATCTAAAGTACTTTAAAATAAAAAGTTACAAAAAGAATAAAACCTGTAATAATTGATTTTTAAAAAATTACTTCTCTATTAAGAGCTCTGGCTATTGATTTAGCTATACTGGTCTTCCCGACCCCCGGAGGACCGTAGAAACATAAAATTTTACCTTGAGTACTGCCTTTTAACTGGCTCACGGCGATAAATTCTGCAATATTAACAATTAAAAAAATTGTTAAAATTCATAAAACCGACAAGCAATATACCGAGGACTCTCTTTTTAACATCATCCATTCCATAATGGTCTTCGTCCAATATTTTAACAGCCTGGGTCAAATCTAAATTCTCAGTGCTTGTCAAACCCCATGGAAGAGAAGTCAACCAGTCCAAATAGTTACGAGTAACGCTGCAAAATGTCAAAATAAACAAACCATACCTTGAGTTGTTGAATTTGATCGGTTAACACTAGCGCAAGAAGAAACATCATGTGATGGATAGTTTAGTTATTGGAATTCCTGGCATTCGAAGTAATAAAAAATCTTGTCTTTTGTAGATCAGCCAGATTTTGGTATGAGATTACAGCACAGTGCATGAGTCAAAAATATTCCGAGGGCAATGCACACCTGCCCCACTACGTCAATGGAAACAACACTCCACCACCCACCCTAAATGTTTATGTACAAAAGGTGACGTTTGAGAGTGTCATCAGACTCCTGATTTACAAGGAAATACAACTAGATTGAAGAAGGAACCACCACAAACGGTGACTGACAAAATGAGAGCTCAACTTCCAATTGAACATAGACACTAGAGGCATTTGGAAAATAGGTGACCCCCCATTTTAACAGCCTGCGTCAATTCTAAGGAGTGGTTGTCAAACCCCAAGGAAAATAAGTCAACCAGCCCAAATAGTTACGAGTAACGTTAAAAATATCAAAATAAACAAACCATACCTGGTATACTTGAGTCAAATTTGGTCTGCTATCACTAGCTCAAGAAGGAACAGTCTGATGGATAATTTATTTAATGGACGTTCCTGGTATTCGAGTTAATAAAAAATCCAAAAAAGATTTTTGTCTTTGTGGTACATTGACCAGATTTTGGCCCAGAGTGTTGAGAAGAATCCAGCACACTACAAAAGTCAATGATATTATAGAGGCAATGCCCCACTAGTTCAAAGGAATAGCACTCGACCACCCACTCTTACATGTTTATGTACAAAAAGTGGCTTTTCAGAGTGTCGACAGACTCCTGTGATACAAAGAAATAAAACCGGATCTAAGGAGGAGCCACCACAAAATTCTAAAAAGAATTAAAATAAATAAGATGTCTACAACGGTGACGAGAGAAGTAAATGAGAGAAAAGCTCAACTTCGACTGACCAGTCTAATTGGTCATAGACACTAGAGACATTTGGAAAAAAGACGACTTCAAGTTTCAAGAAGAGGTCCTAATATGGCACATGGATCGAAGATGGAACAGGAGTAGGTGAATGGGCGGAGAGTCATACAAACGAAAGCCCCTTGGACCCCCAACGGTTGTCCAAGAAAAGTCCATGCAATGCAATCCACAACATATATATCTATACTCGCAGACAACCAAACAGACAACAAAAACACTAATGCGCTTGCTTTCAACTCCAAACTTGCCTGAGAATGCCTAAACTGCCTAATGACTCCGGGAAAGCAAAACACTATAATCTTAATGTGGGTTCCTGGATATGAAGTCATAGAAGGAAATGAACAGACTGACCAACAAGCCAAAAAAGGGGCAACCATCTCACCCATGGGACCAGAGCAACAACAAAGTACTCTGGAGTACTCTAGAGTGTGTTCTTAGTTGGAACTGGAAAAATGGATTGAGAAAGAAAGACTCAAACTAGATAAACACTCCAGGTATGAAGAAAGCTAAGAGCTTTCAAAATCTCGCAAAACGGAAGGCGAAGGAACTCTCTGCTCCCAGTATGGGAAAGGCTTTAGAACTGTTCATTATGAATCGGATAAGGATTTCGCCTGGAATCGCAACCAGTACGGACGAGTACGAAACAAAAGCACTGTGCATGCCTTGCTAATATGTCACTGCAACTAGACATACGCAAGGCGTGGCCAGCAGTATTAAAAGAATTGAAAAGAAGAGCTTTCCCGGGCGACACTCAAAGATTAATTGATAGCTACCTTACAAAATAGTCCGCAACATACGAAGATCCTAGTCAACTCTACAGTAAGGAAGTGACGATGGGAGTCCCACTGAGCTCTGTTCTGGGATTTTTTTACCACCATATTGTTCGACGGACTGTTATATGATATCGAAGTTGGTGGTCTCCTTGCAGACTTAACTGTCATCTTGCAAGTAGACACGGAAAGAGGCCTTGAGCAAGCTGGGAAAATGGCCTTAGAAATAGTAGCCGATTGGTGCACAAAGAAAAAGCTGGAATTGGCAAGTGATAAAAGCAATATTATATGTTAAAGGGACAGTTGAATATGAGAAGTCCTCAGTCATCAAAATAAATGGTCATACAATACCTTGTCCCCAAAATGTGAAGTTGTTAGGTGTTACTATTGGGCGAGGACAATTTGAAATCCACACTTCCCAAATAAGAGCAATAAGTGGACCAACGTGGGGTATCACCTATAAAAGCGGCCTTTTTATGTACCAATCAGTATGTGAATCACCTACAGCGTACGCATCACCTGCATGGTCAAGGCACATCAAAACCCAGGTTGGGCAGAGCTCACAAAAGCGCAAAGGAAAGTGGTTGGTCATACAAGCCTACAGGACAACATCTACGGAGGCATTAGCCAATTGGAGGAGATAGATCCTGATAGAACCCTTTGGGCGAATGTGCAGGAAGAAAAAAGACCTAGCTGGAAGGCGAAGGAACTCCTCTCTCTTCAGCAGGTAGGATTTGAAGGGAATTATAGACCTAGAGACCTGCCGTTGCTCTCTTAACGATCATCTTAAGGAGATGAGTAAAGCTGAGACGGAAACACTCTGCTCTGTCAGGGGGAAACAGATATCTGCACATCCTTTGTGAATGTAAAGCGTTAGCCACTACGGTAGGACATTCCTCATACAAAAAGAGAACCACGAAGACGCACCAAGGAAAGTACTCAGTTTTATAAGGAATAGCGCACTTTCCAAGGTATAAGCTGTAGGGGTGTTTAGGTCGCAATGGAGGGAAGAATTGTCTGCATCAACCCATTTAAACCATTTAAAAAATCGATATATGTATCAATATATTTCGGGATATTCATTATCGTATAGGCACTCATATCCAAGTCCTCTTCTGGGAGAACAGCATGAAGAAAAAAAGTATCTCTCTCATCCTACTGCGGCTATCTCTGCCGTTCTTCGGTTTCTGGTTCCGTCGACTGGTTTAAAGCCTTAAACTCACTTTTAAAGCATAATTGCTGAGAATCCCTCCAAAAAATTAATAAAGTACAAAAAACACCCTATAAGCTGTAAGGGTTTCAGGTTGGTGTGTAGGTCGGAGTGTATAAAAGACTGTCTTCTGCTCAACCCCCGAACCCTTATAAAAAAGGGTCAAAAATGTTGAGAAATCATGTCTGATGACTATGCAATGTACTTTTATGATTCCAAGATCAATACAGAAAAAGTAGTTTGGTATTGACATGACAAAATATTTCTTGGCGATTCGAAAGTAATAACTACTCTAGTTGTAACTTACAGTATTAAAAATATTATTGATTGAGCATTAGTTTGCCATTTGAACTCACTTGAATTCTGAAGAATGACTTTCTAAAAATCCCAACTTATTCATTTCTTCATTTAAAACTTCCATGACGTTTTTCGGTACATTTTTATCCTGGAGAAAACGTAACAAGAAAATTTTTTTGTTGGGATTTGTTTAAATTTTTACCATACCTTGATCCTTTCTCTGAATTTTTCTTCTATGGCGTCCTTGTCGTCTTTCTCCAGGCCGAGTTCTTTTTTAATAACTTTAAGCTGTTCCTGAAGAATGTACTTCCTGTGCTGCTGTTTGACTTTTTCTTCGACCTCACGGCCGATTTTCTGCTGGAGCCTGCTTAGCTCCAGCTCTTTTTTCAGGAGGGCAAGCGACAACATGAGCCTCTTGGGCACCTGGGATAAAAATTTGATTAAACTATTTATTTATTTTTTTTTTTTAACTGCGTACATCCATTTCTTCCAAAACTGCTTGTAGTTCTGCCGGTTCTGCTCCAGTAAGAGCAGCTCCTAGATCAGAAAGGTAAACCGGATTGTCGACTACTCTCTGCCCTTGATGCAACATCTGTTGTAATGTTTCTCTATACAGAGGATTTAAGCTAATTATATCCTTTATAGTTTTTATCACTTCTTGCGTCAAAGCCTATTGACAGGATGAAAGTTAATTGGGTGTTATTTGACCCGTTATTGGCTCTTTACCTTGATTTCTTCGGTATTTTTGAACTTTTCGTGCTGCACATTTTCAACTTCGACTATTAGAATTGATTTTGATTTTGGAATAGGTCTGGAGGCTTTAGCCTGTTTGTCATCCTGCTTTGATTTATCAGACAGGCCGAGCTCTTTCAGCCTTCGAGCGGTCCGTTTCCGTCTCTGTCCTATAATGTTTACGTTTCAACCGATAAAAAAAAAAAAATGGGTTTATTTGTACCTGTTGGTGCAGGCTCTTCGAAAATTGGCGATGTCAACCGGATTCTCCTGTGCGACATGACGACGAGGCGAAGACGATCGCCCAGGTCTTGCATCTCGTGGATTTGTGCAAATGTGCCGACTCTATAAACTTCGTCTATGGTGGTTATGACCTGCTTTTCATTTCTGTAAAATATCATATCTTGTTTTTAAAAAAAAGTTTTCTTCTTCCAAAATCCTAAACAATTTGAGACTCACTCTTCGTTCTTTTTCAAAAAGACGCCCACATACGGTTGATTCAGTCTTACCTTTCTTCTAATAAGTTCTATTAATTCGGGATGTGACACCTAAAATTTATTACACATCATAAAATACAATTTTTTCAGAATTTTAGAAGAATTTTTAAATAACGACAACAGATTTTGACAGTATTTCTACAGACACGAAGTAGAAGCTGATAGCCCTTCGTTGATATTTGCTTCTTTGGTCCGCCTATTTTTGCCGCATGAGCATCAGAATCATCATCATCAGCAAACATGTCCATTGTGTGGTGTTTGGTGACCGTTAGTTAATGATTATTTGAAGATTGTGAGATGTGACGTATGTTTTAGAAAAACATTTTCTTTATCGTACCAACGGTTTCGATCTTTATTGAGATCATCTTCAGGGCTCAAAGTGTTTGTTTTCCGTGTAGGTGTGTCATTCTTGTCTGTCGTGTTGAGAGTTCCCAATCACAAGACAAGAATGGCACAACTACGCAGAAAACAAACACTTTGACCCTTGAAGATGATCTCAATAAATAACGAAACGTTGGCACGATAAAGAAAATGTTTTTCTAAAACCTACGTCACACCAGAACGCATCTCCCGACCTCCAAATAATCTTATGTCCATTACTAATCAGAATAATAATAACTTAATTTTGATCAGACCTTTTCCATTTTTATTACTAAAATGAATTCGAAGTTGATGGGATTTTGGGGGTTGATTGTGGTATTCTATTGGATACGTGGGCAACCTTTTATTTTATCAGCCTCCAAAGCCCTCGCAACTTTTTTTCCTTTTCACTTTATTCACACAGGAGACACATTAAAAACTTCGTTTTAAGTGCAAGAGTAAAGAGCCGGAACCTAAAGGTTGAAAGGTCTGAGACTTGGCGGATAGAGTTAAGTCCCTTCCATACTTATTGCCTATGGAACCAATGAGTTCGGTATTTAAGGAGAAAGGCTTAGCAGGGCGGAAACTAATTTGACAGGAATGTAGAAAAGACTTTAAGGTGACTAGATCTTATAGATTGTAGAACGGTATGATCAGATATAGGAAGGAGCTAAGTACGGTAGGATGGATCCACTTCGAGTTTAGTGCACAGATCAGTCACATGGGACCTCCCACAAGAAAATTAGACGTTTAAGCTTATTTTTAAGCTACCAGGTGAGTCACCCTAGTACGTGAGCGTACTAGGTAGTACATCTTTAACCAAAGAGGACGAACTCCAGAGATGCTAGGAACAGTTGAACAAACAAACTTATGATGAAAATTCCTGAAGAAAGTTGTCAAATGGTACAGTTAGAGATGGTAAAACTCGGGGGAGTGATAAAACTATACATGGCATCTGAGAATAAGAAACAACATGGATATATTCAATGACCCCATTTGTAGCAATGAGGAGGAAGAAACTGCCAACCATTTTCTTTGAATGTAAGCTCACTGGAGACATAAGGGGATCAAGAAGACCTGGGAATACTTTTTAAAAGAAGAATCGCCTTTTAAAATTCTCTCCGCATGCCGGTATTGCTCCACCAGGTTTTAGACTCATTAACGATCTATTTTAAGATGCATCCTTGTGGCAATATGCTTCAGGACCCAGAGAGTCCATGTTGGCCCCCCCTCTTTGGCCAACTTGTCAAACATTTCGTTGCCTCTATGCTTCGAGTGCCCAGGGACCCATGCCAGGGTCGGGTCATTAGGTCACTGACTTCCGTCAGGGTCCCCATGCAGTTCCAAACCCTCTTTATCTTAACCTCTCAGCGGCTAGAGCCTTTAGTGCCTTCCACCAGGTTTTGGAATCATTAAAGATTTATTTTTGGATGTGACCTTTTTTTGTGACAAGAAGGTAGGACACAGTAGGTTTCGAAGTATTCATATTGCCAGGGTCAGGTCATTGGTGTTACTGACTTCTGCTAGTATGTAAGGACTTTAGAAGTGATGTACTGTGGATAGGATTCTTATTAGAGTGTGAAGAATCGAACCCATGACCGCGAGGTCTATGAGCGCAAAATTCTGTAAATCATATGTTTTGGCAAATGTTTCCAACTTCTGATCTATTATAACATATGGAAAATGACAAAACTAAAGGCATTGAAAGAGTACCTCGATTAGCTTGATGAACCTCGGGAAGACTGGATTCCTGTTGATGGCGATGAGCGGTACCTGGGGCCAGACTTCCGGGACGACGACCGAAGCCGGCAAAGTTGTCTGGTGGTGATCTTTGTTATCATCGTTATCGAAGGCCGGAGGCGGCGTAGGAGGCAGCTTCCCGGCTCCGTCCCCTTCTCCGTCTCCGACGCCGCCCTCCTTCTTCTTGCAGAACCCCCTCGACGCCTGAAGGAACAGCCCTGGGGTGCACCTGCGTCCGACCGAAAACGACCGCCCGCTCCGCAACAGAGGTCGGCACTTCGAAAATACCTAGAAGAAAAGACCGGTCAAAAACCGAATTTCGTAATTTTATAGTTTAGATCCGGTACCTGTCGTAAGTTTGCGGCCTTCAGCAACGCATGACCGAACATACTGTTTAAAATGGGATTCTGTGAGTCTTCTCCTCTTTGAAAATCCGGAAGCTTCAACACTCGATATATAAAATGGACAATTCTATCCAAAACAAGCACGGGAGCTGTCAACGATCTTCGCTGTGGATATCATATGTCAATCGAACTAACCTTCTCACACTGACGTACAAAACACAAAAGCATAATTTTTTTTGTTTTTAACACAAAATAAAATTAAAAGTCACATTTTTATGTATTTTATCCCATTTTTATCATACTTCTAACAAAAATAAAACATTTTAAAATATGTTCAAATTAAATATTTTAAAAAATATATAATCATGGGTGTGCAAAAATTTTACTCTCTTGCACTTCATCATACAGTTCAAAAGAATTATTTTCACTTATATAAAATCTCATGCTTACATTTTAAAGAAGAAACATATGCACATTTATAAATCGCAAAAATTCATTACAGATTTTTACGTTAGTTAAGTTTTTGTAAGACTTCATTTGCAGAATATACAATAATATGATCTTCTGATGAGCTTTGTAGTTGATCTAAATAGGAAATTAACTTAAAAACGTAATATACAATAAAAAACACTTTATTTAGTTAACAATTAGACGAACTGTGCACAGTTATTTAACATACAAGTGTATAAGAAAACCAACGAAAAGTTAGCAAGTGCGAACGGCATTGTTAGAGCTCTAGTAACCATAAGAAATCTTCTTTCTTTGCTATTTCTCCAGTCTGTCCATAGATCTCACCTCTATTGAAGAGGTCAATTCTCAAAACGAGATGGAAAGCATCCGCAGCGGGTCTGCCGAGGAAGACATTCTAATGTTGACGCTAGGACGTCTAGTGTTGTTGATTCTAGAGAGCTTTCTGTGTATGTCTTTAGGTATGCAGGTTCAAGTCGGGCGATGGTTGCTCTTCTGGTCGAACCTCTGACACTTAAGTCAAAAATTTTAGGGAACCTTTTCGCCATGAAAAAGGGTCCTTCGTATGGAGGTTGTAGCGGTGGTTGAACCTGGTCCATTCTTAAAAAACATGAGAAGAATTTCGGAAATCTAGGTGTTCATAGGTTTTCGTTGAACCATGATAACTAGGACAATTGGACAAATCGTGCACAGTTATTTAACACACAATATATAAGAAATACAAGAAAAAGTGATCATGTGCGAACGACGTTGTTAGAGCTCTAGTAACCATGAGAAACCTTCTTTCTTCGATCTTTCTCCAGTCTTACCATAGATCCTACATACCCCACCTCTAGTGAAGAGGTCTAAAGCCTACACGATGTACAAAATGGACAAAAAATGAACATTGAAAACTTGGAAAATATAAGTTAGTAGCTACTTCAAATTAATAGAAAGGGGTGTGAGAATAAGAAGAAAAGGGAGCTTAATCTAAAAGCACCATCTCCCTACATGATTTTTTTCTAAATGGGATAAAGGTTATATATCAAATTTTATCGTATTGATTACCCAATAAGCCATAAAATAATATTTACTAGATACATTTTAGGACATACATTGAGAAACACTTAGTGGTTTGAGAGACAATAAACTGTTGACGTTTCATTTTAAAAAATCTGGTTTGCGGTCCGCATTCTTTCGCTGTCCCTCTGGTGTCTTTTACGACTTTTAACAATATTATTCAATTATCATGGCCGTTATTAAGAAAATAATTTCAGTTTAAAGTTTTTACCCCAAGCGTATCCCTTTCATTAAATAATATTAATAATAAGACATAAATATTGTAGCTTAAATAAACAAATTATTACACGATGTACAAAAAGGACAAAAATAAACATTGAAAACTTGGAAAAATGTAAGTTAGTGACGCCTTGAAATTAATTCCGCTTTTATTAAAATAACGAGACAGAAAGAGAAAATAATCCATTATGTTTCGTGGTCCGATTGACCAAATAACTTTTTTCAATTAACTAATCTTTACGTAAGGTATTGGTTGAGATAAAAAAGCCAGTGTCACGAGGGGGATTCGAACCCACGACCTTCGGCTAGTCACGCCGCTGCTCTACCACTTGAGCTATCGTGACTTCGATCTATTCGGACACCAACTTTCCATCTCAACCCATCTTTCGAATTTTTCCTCCTTTTTGCCATTTTTCAAATGTCGTGTAATCAGGATTCGACTCTGGGCGACATATGAAATGGCCACGGTGAGCTTTAGTGAGGATACACCGTTCGAATCCCTCTCGCCACACTAGCTTTTTCATTGACTATTACCTTACATAAAGATTAATTGAAATAAAATAATGTTGAAGAAAGGGATTTAACTTTCAGTACTCCTCTTTTGCAATTGATTTGATCAATTACGATATTTTGCCCCCAAACCCAATCGAGTTTGTTCTATATCAAGAAATGATAAACTGAATCAAAAGCAACAATATTTTATTTTTTCACGTTGAGGTTTTTTGTTGCTTACAAGTGGATAGGCGTTAATAATTTGTCGATTTTAGGGTCAACCTACTGTGATCTTTTGGTTGGTCTTTAGTGTGTATCCAACTGTTTGATTATTAGTTATCATCCGCCGGTTCTCGGAGTTTGTCCGTTTAAAAATCCCTGATGTTGTCCAAAGCCGACTCGTGTAAGTTCGAACAAACATTGTTAATAGGCGAACGAACGTTGTACATGTTTCTCAAAGCGTTTACGTGCTTTGTGAACGGCCGGGTTTTCATCCCGATCGATCCAAAACGGCAAATTTCTCATTAAATCCTAAACGATCCGAATGTCGCGTAAAACGAAACGGCAGAGCTTTCGAATGTAAATTTGAAAAAGTGCATATGTAAAATATTACGGGCGTATCGGCCACGACGCCGGTGGGTCCTGTTTATGCTGGACGGGGGTTATGGAAAGAGGGAACGACCAGGGCCGCCGTGATTTTGTCCAAATATTCATTTGCTATGGATTACATGCGATGGTTGTTTGTTTGCCCTCGACAGTCCACCAACAAGCAAAAAGCAATTATTTTCATTATGCAGTCAGCCCAAAGCCCGGGTGCGACTCTCTCGCAACGTGAATTATTATTTTTGCCAACTTGTAATACAAAGATAACAAAACAGCGGAATTAGTAATGCCACCGGCGATTGAATATTGACCGACCTCTTGGGCAAACCTGCCCTCAGTATGTAAATCCAAAACTCCCTGTTATCCCTACTGTTTTTTTGATTTTTTTTTCAAATATCCAAGAACAACAAAATTCTCTAAGAAAAAGTATACTAGAAAATTATCATGGAAAATCGGATTTACCTTTACTCATCTGGATGTTTGTCAAACATCGCATAACCATGTTATATTATAACACCAGTGTTCATACAATTTAATCAAAACCAAAGTTCAAGTTTTTAAACTAAAAAAATAATGTGAGACTTTTAAATGATGTCCCTTTTAAAAGATAAAATGAAATGGTAAAATTTCCTCAACTTCCTGAGTGATGCACCTGTAATTTGGCCGTTTCTGATCATTTTCGCTCCCTCTTTTTCCTTATAATCCATTGTATAAATCGACTTATCTATCTACCATACCTATATATCATTTTTGATACAATTGTTTTACTCAGTTCAATTTTTTTTATTTACCTATATCTTATATTTTTCTTTAAACATATCCAATAAACAACAAAAAATAAAAATTATAACGATTGCAAGTATTTACGAAAATAACATTGGCCACCTTTCTTTTTGCCTGTCAGTGTAATATTTTAGAGACAAAATTTATTTTAGATTTTTAATTAACATTTCAATATCGCGTATTTCCTCCTCTTTTCCTTAATTATATCTAGGAGACGCCTCGGCATACTTTCTACCAATCTGGAAATGTCTCTTTGCTGGAGCTTAGCCCATTCTTCGCAAACAGTCCTTTCAAGATGGTGGAGTGTATCAGGCAGTGATGGACGTGCTCTTATTCGTCTTTTGAGGTTATCCCATAAATGTTCGATGGGGTTCAAGTCTGGAGGGCTGCTAGGCTAAGACGCTGATGTTATGCTGTACCCCTGATGCGAGCGACATGTGTACGGGCATTGTCGTGCATTAGAATAAGATTGTCGCTGATTTCGTCGAGGATAGGCAACGCATGATGTTCCAAAATATGGCGCATGAGTGGCCGTCAAAGATCCTCCACGAACAACAACCAACTCTGTGCGACTCTCCTTTGAAATTCCCGCCCACACCATCACTGAACTACGTTGAAAATGTCGACTCTGGGAAAAATTACTAGCTTCGTACCTTACATTTCGCCTTCTCCACACTCTTTCACTCACATCTAGAGATCGTATGGCAAATCTACACTCATCTGTATAAAGTACAGGGTATCGTCCAAAGGCTGTGTTCTCGAGCATATGCGAGCCGTGCAACTCCGTGGGTTCTGGTCAATTCTGGTCTTCTTACGGGGCCAAAATCAGACCATACTGGTTTAATCTTCTTCGAGCAGTGCATTCAAAAATTTGGACGCCTCGAACTTCCTGGAGCTGATGAATCTCTTGAACAACTGTATGGTGCCGATTTCGCAAAATTCTCAAAGTCAAAAAACGGTCACCCTACTTCTGTTAACCTAGGGCGTCCAGAACCGAGCTTTCTATGGTAAGACCCAGTTTCTCGAAAACGTCTAATGGCGTCTTCCAGTGTTTCGTAGGGAACTCCGATGGCAATATTCGCATGGAACGTCCATCATCAAAGTGCCACACCACTCGCAACACGCTCAGCACTAAGTGTCATTTTTAAGTTTAAAAATTGAAATTAAGAAAACAAAGATAAAAACTAAAGAGATTTAGTTTTCGTTATTGCTTCAGAATTTAAATGGGACTGAATAAACATTTTAAATTCCGTCAGAAGTAAACATTGAAAAATCCTTTATCCTTATTTTGGATTAAGGATTAAGTGTGTTTACCTCAAATTGATATTCCCAATTTAAAACATAAACAAATATTTATTGATAAAAACAATAGACAAATAAAAAACAGAATTTATAGAGAAAATGAAAAAAATTCCACCCCAATTGATTTTTTTTTCATTTTCTCGATAAAGGAAAATTCTGCTTTTAATTTGTCTCATTGTTTTTATCAATAAATATTTATATATATATATATATATATATATACATATATATTTATTTATTTATTCTGGTTCACCTATCTTCGCTGTTTCGGTCTGTCAGATGAGTTTTTGCATCTCCAGTGGGTTTGTTACCTATTTGGACAAACTTGTTCATATGGAAAAACGTATAGAATGGACTTTATGGACTTCA